AACGGCGCCTAGGCCACGTCCAGAGGCGCTCCGCTTTTCCACGGCTTCGCTGGGAATCGGCGGGCTGAATCTTGGCGTCGAAAATGGGCCAGGTGGAGACTCCAACAGAGTGGGGTTTTTTTTTTAAATCGTCTATATCCCCCATAGGTAGCGCAGGCGAATTCACCCTTGTGGAACTCACTGCCACAAGGTTCGGCGGCACGCACGAGTTTTTTTGGGGGGGGAGAGGACTGGAATACAGACGGTGTGTAGTGGCACCTAAAGTTGGCGCCACTTTCCTTCTCCGAATCACATTTGGCAGAGGAAATGCAGACTACGGGGGTGGGGTGGGGGGGTTGGGGGGGGGAAGGAAGGGACGTTTCCCCCACACCGTTCGGGCGGCATTCCAAGCAGCCTTCTGCAGGCAGGGCATGGGGGTCGATGTCCCTTTTTTGAGGCCAGGACGGCGTCCTTTCGGGTCGCTCTGCCAAAAGCAACGGCGAAAAGGGCCACTGGCAGAAAGAGCCCCCGGGGCGGAGGGGGCTTTTGGAGCGGCAGTCACCGAAGTCTTGCGATCCCGCCGTGGGGGATCCCACCTGCCCCACCCAGACAGGAACGTGCCGGGGTGGAGGCGAGAGTGGAACTGAGAATTGGGTAGGCCAGCGGCGAAGGTGCGCCGCTTCGCTCGGCTGTCCCTTCGCTCCGGACCGGGAAAACGAATTTCACCGCGCTTCGCCTTCCTCGGAGCAACGCCTTCTGAGATCTAGCGGTGGCCTGGGGGGAGGGAATCACGGGGGAAACATAAGGGGGAGAAGGAAAATATCCCGAAGAGACAGTGCCAGGCGAGGCAATTGTGACTCCCAGGCTCAGGTTTTGAATATAATTGTATATATATAGCATCTTATTAATGGGGAGCGCGAAGGAGAGCAGCGGGTAGGGCTGGCGGGGGTGGGGGGGAGCAAAGCTTTGAAAACTAGGGTGGAGCTTGCTCGCCCACTTGGATACTCTCCAAAAGGTAAATGTCCTTATTGACTAGAAAAATTGCCCTGCGAATTGTATCCGGCTGCTCCTTTCCTGTCTCTTTGCTCAAGTGCTGAAGGGTCGGGACTGAAGATGGGCTCCGAAGGTAGAAGCAGCTCCCAGTCGCTATAGGAACCAGCCTGTCAGGAGATGGAAAGACATATTTCCAAATCCGAGGGGACTCGGGACAGTTCCCCCCCTCCAAGAATGGGAAGAGAGGACCACCAGTCAAAACATTAAGAGTCTGACCTGTTTTTCTTCATCTCAGAATCCTACTTCCGACTAATCTTTTTGGCTTTCGTTGTTAACTGTTCTGGGGTAGGATATGGTTGAAATCATCTTTTCGGTGATCTATCAGCGGATTTGTACCTCTCTTTTTTCTAACGCCTGTGCTATTGAAATATTTTTCTCCAATCACAATCAACTGTAATCACATTGCATTACAGTTACCATGATCCTCAACCAGCGCACACTTCATTTTTTCCGGAGGACAGGCAAATGGAATAATAGAGATGGTGACCAGGCGCCACTGAAAGCAGAATGCAATGCAATGCAGTTTCCTCCAGAAATATTGGGTTGAGACTAGTCTTATTCTTTTGACAATCCCAGTGCCCTTCTGAGGACACCCCATCCTTAAAAGAGCTAGTAGGAGTGGTGAATCAATGCATCTGGTGGGCTTCTGTAGTTGGAGAAGACAGCTTCACCACTTCAAATGGAGACACAGTCATTGCATTCTGTTGGAAGCTGGTCCAGAAAACAGTAATATTGGCTTTCTCAGTGCTCCAGCAGAGAAAAATACAAACAAAAGTCCACCAGCCTAGAAAAATAAACTTGCTGCAGGCAAATAAAAGTTAGGGGTGGGTGTGGGGTGGGTGGACTGATTACAGATCAATTTGATCATTCTTTCATTCAAACTTGATTTTCTTCTCTCTCTCTTTCTCACTCTCTCTCTCACACACACTCTTTCTCTCATTCTCCTGGTCTGTTTTGTAGTTCTATTTTTAATAGAAAACTTCATCAGTGATTAGAGAAGGAGTATGGCTGATCCATAGAGAATTCTAAACAGTGACATTCAGGCACAGAAACTCCTTGCACAAGACAATTTCACTTACCTAGAAAACAAATTCAGATCTGCTATAAACCCACTTTATTTCAGTCCAGAATGCCAGGAATAAAGAGTGATTCAGGGAATCTTCCAAATTTCACATGTCCAACCCAAGCACATTAAAATATGTTCCAGTCTGGATTTTTTTACTGTAATGTCTGAACCCCTATTACAGGAAGTAACCTTTTTAATTGTAATTAGATTTATTTCTGACTGCTGTGTACAGTATTATAGGTTTCTTTCTAGTCAGTTGTGTCTTTGTAACAGGAATGATTCATATGGAGAAAATGCAGGCAGTATTAAGTATGTGTTCAGTCTGATTATAAGCAAAGTGCTTAGTGTGTTGTCTGAATGGTTTACCAATTTCACAGCCTGATTTTTCATTTCTAATAAAATTGACTAAAAGCGCTCCACTAAAATTACATTGTGGGTGTTGGTTTGTTTTCAATGTTTATTCTCTACTCCATACAAGGCACCAGAATTATACAGAGCAAGAGCATTAATATTTGAATACTGCCTACCTTGTTGTCTGCCATTGCCCTTCATGGGGCAGTTCCACGGAGAACTACTCAAAGTCCAGCTGAGCTTTCCCCCCATCCACAGTAGGAAAATGGGCAGATAATTGCACCATAAATCTAATATTTGCAGGGTAACAAAGATTATCCCTTGAAGAAGAATGCTTGGGTCCCTAAAAACTTGCACATTAACATTTAAACCTTCCATTGCACTAATAAAAATAATCTCTTAACATAGCCATTGATTTTCTCTCCCTCTTTTCAGAGCGAACACGGTGGCTTTCACCCCATGTTTACAAACTTCTTCCAGTCCAAATTATAACCCCTCCTTCTTCCGAATGGCTGGAAGAGGAAAATTCCAGGCTCAGATTAGATTAGGAGTAATAAGAAATGCATTTTCCTCACCTAAAAGGTAAGACAACAGAGTCCCATTGACAGTAAGGATAAAGCCTTAGCCTGTACTGCATAACTTGGAGGAGTTACCTCGACCAAAGTACTGTACAGATCTGGTGGAAAGCTCTCCCACACAAAATCAAAAATATTTTAAGAAGACAGAAATATGGAATATATACGGGCTACTAATTGGAGATATTTAAAATATCCCCCTCCCCTTGCGTTTATAAAGTAGTGAAATTAGATTGTCTCTAAATACAACCACCTTTATCGGATGTAGACGTGGGTTGATTTCGGGGATAACTGGGAGTTGAAAAAAAAAATAAACAAGTAGTCTACAGTATTAAATTCCTGCAGGTTAGAACAACCTTGTCTCGCCTTTTATTATTACTTTGTTGCAGTGGGTACTGGGGCAACTTATATCTCTCTTAGATTGTGATCACAGCCTACTTCTCTGGGAGAGACAGCCGAAGAAGCCTCGATGGAGCCGGACTGTTGAAAAAAATATTCTTACAAAAGAAGAGACGCAGCCTGCCTCGCGAGGAAAGCGCGCTTCGGTCGGAAGCAGCACGGCCGATGCCTCCGCTCTGCCGATCAGCTTTGGGTCGTCGAAGGGCCTTCCAGCCGAGAAGCAGAGGCGGTTTCTGGCCCCTTGAACAGGCTCAGCGCGGCCTTCGGGGAGTGGCAGGGAGCGGCGATTCTGGCGCTTCCACAGCGAAGAGAGCCGATAACGGGAGCGAGGGCAGCGATCCCACCATGCCCTTAACGTCAGGCTGGGGACAAACGAGTTTCGGTCTCCAACACAGGGAGGAGGAAGCGGAGAAGCCTTTAACTATCCACTGGCGCTAAAGCCGGCCAAGGCTGATTCTAGTATGGAGTCTCTGCCCGGAGGGGTCTCCGGGAGGCAGAGTTTCGCGGGCGACTCCGAAGAATCTCGGAACTCGGATTTGCGCTTTGCGCCGCAGTCCGCCCAGACCGGGAATTGGGGGGTGGGGGGTGGAAGAGGACACGGAACGGCTCGTTTGCAAAGATCCGGCGGATGGGCCCGGCCGGGCGTCCGGCTTCAGGGTGAGCTCCTCGCCGCCGCCAGGACGCTTACGTGCGTCCGTGCGTCCGTGCGTGCGCGCGCGCGCCTATCCCCCCCTCCCTTCCCCTTCCCCTCCCCTCCCCTGCGTGACATCAAAAGCCCTCCGCTGTATAAAGGCCGAGCGGAGCGTAGGGACAGAGGAGGGCCGAGGCGGCGAGCGAAGCGGCTAACCGGTTCGGGGACTGGTGTAGAGGCGCCCAGGGGCCCGCCGCCCGCCCATGGCTTCCTAGCGCCAGGCACTGGCCATGAACGTGGTGGGGAGCTACCAGGGCCACCCGCACCCGCACCATCACCCGCACAGCGCTTTGCTGCACGAGCCGTTTCTCTTCGGGCCGCCTCCTCCGCCGCCGCCGCCCCCTGCGCGATGTTTCTCGGCGGCGGCGGCGGCGGCAGCAGCGGCCGCGGCAGCCGCAGCGTCCGACCGGCCCTTCGCGCAGGGCTGGCTGTTGAGCGCAGCGTCGGCCGAGCTGTCTCCGCCGCCTCAGCCGCCGCTGCCGCCGCCGCCGGAGCTGGTGTGTGCTGCGGCCGGGCTGACCTCCTCGGCTTCGCCCTCTTCGTCCTACGGCAGCAGCCCCTCGGAGCTGGGCGGGCGCCTGGCGGGGAGACGGCGGGCCGGCCCCGCGCCTGGAGCCCCGCGCAAGGAGCGGCGACGCACCGAGAGCCTGAACAGCGCCTTCGCCGAGCTGCGCGAGTGCATCCCCAACGTGCCGGCCGACACGAAGCTCTCCAAGATCAAGACGCTGCGCTTGGCTACCAGCTACATCGCCTACCTCATGGAGGTGCTCGCCAAGGACGGGCCGGCCGCCGAGGGCTTCAAGGCCGAGCTCAAGAAGGCCGAGCCCCGCGATGCCAAGAGGAAGCGCGAGCAGCCGGTGAGAATCCGGGGTTGTGGGCGGGAGGGGGGAGGGGGGGATGTTTGGTGCTCACGGGGAGCCTTGGAGGGGGGGGAGGGCGTTTTCTAGGACCGGCAGGCGCAGACTTTGGCCGGCACTCTGCATATGCTTAGAGGAGCTCGCGTCTTAATTGTAGGTCAGAACCTGGATACCTCACCTCACACGTCAAAACAGCGCATAAACAAGTCGCGCTTTGCCAAAAGCTCCGCAGGCATCCTCGCCGCAGCACTTGGGGTGTGTCCTCGGGTAGCGGGAACTTGACACGTGTGCAGGAGCACCTCTGCATTCATTCCTTGCTTTAAGAGGCCTCCCAAAATTCCAGATCTGATCCCCTGGGCTTGTTAGACAAAGCTAGAAAGTTTGCTTACTCTTCGAAAGAACTAAAATCTCAAGTAACACTTTGGCAGTGGAACGGCACTAGACATACATTGTTTTAAAACAACAACGTTAATGTGTGGTTTTGTTTTTAAAAAAGAGTGGGATCCCTTTTGTTATTTCCCATGTGACGCTTCTGAGATGGAAATGTCAGCATGTGCTTCTTGCCCATCTTCAGCTGGTTTGGCACAATCCACCTATAGATTTCTCCAAAGGTGCTTTTTCCAGAAAAATTACTGGACTTTCTTGTTTTTTTTTTCTCTTCTTCTTTCCTTTACAAATCTTTTGCTTTCAAAGAACTGAAGAAGCTTCTTGGATGAAAAATGAAACATTTTCAAAGGAGAGGAAAAAAACCCCCACAAAGTCCAGTTGCCTTTTGGAAAAAGTACCTTTGGGACAATCGTGATCTGGATGATTGAGAATCTCCATAGACAGCCAGAGGTTTCTATTGCAATAGTGGTGGCTGTGTCTGAATAGTACTGGTGCTTAGATTTTGTTCACAAGCATGTTAATCCAAAGTGTGATTTGCTTGTTTGAGATGCATTGTGTTTTGTAAACAAAGCTTTTTTTTATTTAACAACCTGAGAATTTTGTAAAGATGCTTAGCACCCCATCATTCCTGTGCTGTAGTTTGAAAGTAAACACTATGAAATTTTAGTGGCCATCCAAATGATATTGTGGTCAATTTATATGAAATTTGCAGATGAGCAACTGTAGAGTTGCTTTATTATCCAATAATAAAGGATGTCAGATCCCTGGAGTTTCAGGAGAAGGGGCAGTCTGTGTCTTTGGAGGTGGTTGGTAGTATTGTTTGGTGGTATGGGAACCAGCTACATAAATACGCTAGTTATTTAATTGTGAGTACACATATATCAGGTTAACACAAAAGGAGACTGGGTTTGTGCAAAAAGCCAAACATTAAAAATTGACACTAATCTTAACATTTACTACATTTATCAAATACAACTGCTAGGTCTTTATTTGATCTGTTTTAAGTGGATTAGGTCAACACAGACCATACAAGGCATCTACTCTCACACATTTTTATCTTTGAAAGTTTTGAACATGCAATAGAAAACCCAATGAACTAACTTCCAAGTGAATATACTTCAGCATTCTAATGATCTTGGAATGCTTTAACTTTTAACTTGGAGGCCAATCCTATGCCCCCTACTTACCTTTCATGTGGCATGAATAAAAAGAAAAGTTCTTCAATTGAGGAATGCTGTAGCTGGGAGATATTCACTGAGTGAAAAGTCAGTTAAGTGGGAAAGGAAGGCCAAAGAGACAGAAGGTCCATATATATGGTTTAACCTAGTTCTCGAATTAATAATTTCCTACAGTATTTTGGATTACAAAATAGCTGGTGGATCTGGATTCCTGCAACATATTATCATATTAAAATAAGAAATTTGGGGATGCATTTTTTTCCCACCACATTTAAGTCTTTAGCTTTTGTTGTGTGAACAAGGCCACAGAAACTCTCTTCTCCAATTTCCTTTGTCTATGAAGGAATATTTCTGCAACCAGCAATATTTCTGTGGGCATTCAACAGGCAAAGATACTGTGTTTCAGTCCTGGCAGGTTTTTGGTTTTGACTCTCAATCTGAAGGACTTTGGTTTCCTTAAGATGCATACAAAAATTCCCCACCTCTTGATGGTTTCAAGTAATCTCCTTAGGCACCGAAGGCTCTGCAGCACCAGTCCCTTCAAGGGCCAAGACGGTTCTTCAGGTTCTTCTGCCGTGTTAACCTACAGCTCCCACCTAGTGAAAGGGTGGCTCAAGAATGTAGGGTTGTCAGGCCCTCTGGGTTAAACGTGGAGCAGTGGCAAGGAATATCTTCAAAGGAGAGACTGAAGGTCCCGTTGAGTCCTGCGTCACAGAAGTGATTCTGTAGTGGATGAATGCACTGCCGTGGATCTCATACTGCCAAATCAGCCCGGGCCGTTAGTTTACTATTCAGTATTCACTGCGTTGTACAAAACCTGAAAACTAGTTAAATCTCGATGAGTGTATTGCGCGAACCCAAACTTCCGGCCCGAAGTCCAGCATCCGCTTGCTCTGCAGAAAAATGCGTTCCGTGGGATCAGCCGGGAATCCCCGGGCAGAGGATTACGGGACCCGGACTTCTTTTCCTTTTCCGCTACAAGTTCTCCGCCTCGCCTTACTTCATTAGATTTCGGGCTGCCCAAAACGCGACTGCCCCGGTCCCTCCGCCTCAGGTCTTTCCCCCTCGCTGCCCTTCGGGAAAGCCCGAGGACGCGGAAGCGCTCGAAGCGCTCCGGGTTTCGCGGCGGTCCGGCTAGAGCGGAGGGGCTGGTGCGCAGCCTTGGCTGGAACCGAGCGGCGCTTCCGTGCATGAATTCCCCTCGACGAGGAACCGGAGCTTCCAAATTGCGGTAGCGGAACCAGGCTCCTTTTTCTGCCCACACCGGGGGCGGTGGGCAAAGACGGTCGCCTCCTTCCTCACGATCTGCGGCGAAGAGGCCGGAGCCGGTCCAGCCTTGGCCTTTCCGCGCGGAGCATCTTTGGCATCCCCGCGCTCAAGCGACGCAAAAGCGGGAGCCCTAGCCAGCAACCCCTGAGCCGCCAAGTCTTTTTGCCCAAAGGCACTTTTTGGCGAGATGACCTCTGCGAGGGGGTTGATAAGCGCCTGACCGCCGCCTGCCTGCCTGCGCGCCCGAAGCCTTCTCCCTTTTGGGGAAGGCGGGCAGCACTTCCCCCCCCCCCCCCATGCCAGGTGATTTCTTTGGGTACGAATTCTGTTCAAAATTACAGCCCTCGTAAACCCGTGGAGCTGGAGAGGGGACTGTGATGCCGACGTTTTAAAGAGATGGAGAAACGGGACGGAAATGGAGGGGAAACGTCGAAGAGAACGGGGCGAGGTCCCTGAGAGGCTGCAACAAAGCGTCCCCTTTTCTCTTTCTCTCTTGGAAGCTCCAACTCCACACATTTTTTTCAGGGCAGTGCTTTTTTCCCTTCACCCCAGGGCAGAAAACGGAGGGAGCTAGGATTTATAACCCAGCACCTTTGGCCAGTCAAAGCGTAGCCTTTGCTAGCCATTGCCTGCCATCCTGCGATGCAGAAACAGCCAGCGTACAAATGCACCTGGGCCGGAAATACTAGGGATTGTATGCGGCTTCGGTTAGTCGGAAAGCTCCCATCGTACCCGCAATCCCTGTTCTCCAGTAAAGCGCCACAACACTCGGAAGGGAGGCGGCGTTGCTGTACCTCTTGCTTGCTTGCGCGGAATTAAGTCGGGCTAGGCTCGGCCTGAGTCCCCGCCGAATAAGACTTAAAACTCCAAAGCTCCAGCTCCTTTGACAGCTGGCGAAATGTTTTTTTTCCTCCCGCGCTCTTCGTAAAGAAAGGACCCACTTTTACTGAGGGTGGGAAGGCGGATTGATGGATGGATTCCGAAGCCGGAAAGCTGTCAGATTTAACATGGGGGGGGGGGAGAGAGAGAGAGGAGGGAATAAAATGTAATGCAATCCTTGAAGCTCTTTTGGCCAAACCTAGATTTTTGGGCCTTAATAATCCTTTACCGTTTTTTGTACTTCTTCTTAAGCCATTGCATCTCCTTCGGCTTTTTTGCGTGGTTTCTTCTGTGCGGCCGAAACTCCCCGTTTTAGTGCTTCAAAGGAGATTAAACGTTTCAAAATTCGTCCAAAGTTCCCTGCATGGATTTCTTTTTCTTTTTCGTTTTAAATGCTGCTCGGCTGGTATGTTTTTCTGGAAAATATCTCTCTCTCCCCCCCCCCCCCAACATATACATATACCACATTGCAATTTGCGACCAACATTTATATGCTCACAAGAGTGGAGCCTTTCCAAGCAAAACAATAGTCGAAGCTCTCTGCGGATTTGATTTGATTTCTTTTTTTTTTCCTCCTTTAAACAAAACAGACCCTGGTCCCGTGTTTTGCTAAACTGTGTTCTGCCCAGTGTCTACAGCTGTCTATGGCTCTGCCGGAATGGTGAAAATGCAGACATTGACCCCGGACATGAAAGGCAGCGATCCAACCCCTTTTCCTTTTACTGCAACTCGGCAGACTGAGGAGGATGAGATTCTAGTACAAGCATCAAGTTTGAAGATTTTGAAAGTCTGTGTTGCCTGTTGTTGAGATTGCACTAATCAAAGTTCATACAATTATGCAGAGATCAGTCCTGATCGCTCTTTCACCCTATCCGTTTGTGTGTATATTATTTATATATGCTGTATACAGTACTATAGTGTTTTATGTACACACATACTGAAGACTGTCAGTTGTCCATTACGGGACTCCGAGGCCTGGATTCCCAATTGAGGTATGCAATGGGTGAGAAGTATCTCCCCTCCCCTCTTTTTAAATGAACTATATTCAGTTTCAGGTCTCTTGTATTACCTTTGGAAAAAAAGATAAGGGAGAAGAAACGACTGAAAAGGCACATTTCAAAATCCAGCAAATGAGTTGTTTAAAAAAATAAGCTTTTCTTTTTCTTTTAAAAACTTAAACATATTCAACATTCTGCGTTTACATTTTCCAAGAGCCTGTATAAACTTTCTTATTTATTTATTCAGTGCTGTTGCCCAAACTTTTACTGAAACCGCCTTGGCAATTAGAGGCTCATAACGAACATAATTTAGTAGGGCCGGTTGCGTTTACCAAAACACGGCCTTCGATATTTATAAAAAGGCAGTTAATAAAGGCAAGGAATTTATTGCCTTCCGCTTGATAATCTAATACTCCAAAAGAGCGGGAGAAGGCTGGGTTCTTATTTACAGCCTCTCGAGGGAAATTTGCAAGCAGAGGCATCTGGTAACCAAAACGCAATCAGGCACCGCCTTGTCTTTGTGGGCTGCTAAGGTGCAACGGGCGAGGCTGCGGGGTTACTGTGTTTATACCGATTAAGGACGATTAGCCTCTGAGCGGAGTTAAGCCTGGACTTCAATGCCTTCCATTGGCGCCTTTCGTTTGGGCTGGACCGAGACTTAGTAAGACGCGTCGCTTTTTCTTGTATTCCATCCCTGCGACTCCCACTCCTGATAATCACGGTGAAGTTTTCTTTTAAAATAACTGTGTTTTTTTTCTCCCTCTCTCTCTCTCCTCCCCCCTCTCCTTCGCTTTTCTGCAGCAGCCCGTGGGATATTCTCATGCTTTAGGTCAAGGCGAAAAAAGGCTTAAGGGCAGGACTGGGTGGCCTCAGCAGGTCTGGGCGCTGGAACTGAATCAATGACCCTGTGGAGTTCCTGTTGCGACGAAGAAGAATCTTAACAACTGCGGTCGCGAACCGAAGCCGACGGGACGGCCCGGCGGGGCTCTTTTCGCACCTCGCCTTCTTCCTCGTTCCTGCCGTGCCGAAGAGCAGCCGTGCAGCTCTTCCCTTCATTTGCTTTCGAAACGTCGGAGGGCCTGTGCAATGTCGGAGCCGCGGTGGAGAATACTATAACCCTACCAGAGGAGGGTGGGGGGAGGCCGAAAACTAGCCTGCAACGCCTTGGCTGGGCTCGGATCCGAACCCGTTCATACACACGTGCTTCACTGTCCGTGCAACTCTCTACTTTCTGGGAACCTCGTCGGAAAGCCAAGCGTGTGCGTCTTCCCCCCCTTCCCCCTCCCTGTTTTAAATTTGTCGGTACCAGGGTGCGTCGTCCTCAGCGTGTTAACTCTTCCGGGGATTGAGGAACGTCTGAATAGCGATTCGGGATGGCCCAAGCGCGAGAGCCCATCTCCCTCCTTTAAAACAAAGCAAAGCAAAACAAAACAAAACAAAAAAACCCCTCACGGCCCTAAAAGAGTGGATGGAGACGGAGGAGTGACTTTCCAACGACCTGCTTGGATTTCTTGGACGCCGCTGATTTCCGTGCTTGGAGAAGGCGAGGACTCCAATGAGTAACGGAAAAGCCGCCTGGGCACCTATCCTCGGAAGGAAGGGAGAAGGGGGGGGGAGCAACGCGGGACCGCCGTTCCTCCTCAAGCAACAGGGCTGCCCTTCGCCTGTCCCTGGATTTCGCCACCAGCGATCCAAACAGCTCCCCTCCCCCGTTTCGTCACCGCGGCAACCTCCTTCCCTCCCATCATCCCCAGCTGCCACTGGCCGCGCATGATGAGGATCGGCCCTTTTCGCTTCGGCGGGCCCAGGTAGGGGAAGACTCTGGGCACCCGCGCCCGTTCCCGGCTCTCCTCGGCCCTCCCTGCAGCGCCAGCGCCTCGGCGCAGAAGTTTCTCGTCAGAGGCTCTCGGTTCTGAAGCCGATCCAGCTAAAATTGGCGCCGTCGCCGATCTGGGCGCGGTGGCGGGAACGGCTCGGGGGTTCCCGCTTTTCTGAAAAAGGCGGGAAACCTGCCCGCTCGGCCACAGTTAAGCACTTTCTAACCTCCCATTGATTTCAGCGGAAGAGTGAAGCACATTACTATAATCCTCCCGTTGAAATCCATGGGGCATAACCATGCTTCCCTTTGGCTGGACTGTGCTTAGTGCTTTGAAAACATGTAAATAAACAATACACCGAAGTCCTCCTTTCTCCCTCCCCGTTTTTTTTGCCCTCCCTGCCTCCCTCACCGTCCACTCTCATCCCCGTTGTTGTTGTTTTTTATGTTGGATGTATTTAAACTACCTATGTGAGTGAATTGGATACATTGTCTGTACCGGGTTTTCTACCTCAAATCTGTATGACCACTTCCTAAGAGACAGGTTTGCCAAGTCAAGTATTTATGAGGATTTTAAAATATTATTAATAATAATAATAAAGAAAAGCTTTATGGAAAAAGAACAACACACCACCTCGCCTCACTCCCTTCTCTCATGACATGTTGTTGGAGTACAGAGTGGCAAGCCTCAGCTTAGGCCTGGCCTTAATTCCTGGGGTGTTTATTGGGGAAACGGGAAATCCCAATTATACAAGAAACCTTGGTTAGATTCAAGTAGCAGGGGAGGAAGCCGTAAAGGTGGCAAAGCCAAGCTAACTTAAAGAAATGGGTTTGCAAGATTTGTGCAGGTTGTCAGGCCCAACTCCTTCTCTTCCTCCTCAGTGACTGTTGCACCTATTTTTACGCTACTATAAACTATCCAGCAACATGAGGCTGAGGTATTTCAAAGAAATAAATAAGATGTCAATTATATTTTACACAGATATATACAGTACAGAACACAGATTTATTTGAAAGAAGCGTAATATTTTTTTAAAAATGCTTCATATTTATTGATTTTATTAAATGCCAGCTTGGTATCTTAAGCACATACAACAATCCTATGGAGGAAAATGTTTATAGTTGCTTGATAGTTTGCAGACCTAGCGGTATTTTTTTGAAAGCCCTAGGCAGCACCCCTCTGCCCCCCCCCACCAGACAGACATCACACAGACCCTGATTCACAGCCTCCTTAAATGTTAGCACATAAAGAGGCTTTTGAGTTGTTCTCTTGCAGTTTTAACACAACCAACATTAAGTTAAGCATGGTTTAGTCTAAGCTATTTGACACACATTGAAGCAAATGCTTAAATGTATCTCAATGAAATGAGGAGAATTCAAAGTGATTTCAGTAGGAGAGATGTTTAGGATTTCTAGAGGAACCAATAGGTTAATACAGAGTTTGTCACTGTAGATTACCCTTATGTAACAATGGGCAACTAGAATCCCATCAACTTGCCTGGACTATTAAAAATGACTGGTGCTAATAGACTCCTGATTTATTGCCATCATAGACTGACTGACTCTCATGCAGTTAATTCAATCCTGTGTTTCTAGAAAAAAAACCTAAATTAATTCATGCAACAACAACAGTTTTATATAACTGGTTCCATAACCTCAGTTGTTTTCTTCCCATCACCACAGTCCGTGGCACAAATGGTGGAAATTAGAAGATACATCATTGATTATAATATAAAACTTTGCATTAGAGTTTTGCCAGGACCAGAGTTCAGGAACTTGAACATATTTTTAGTCTTGCAGCATCATGGCGTTCTGTTACATTAATAATTTGTTAAAGGGTTTTTAATTGCTTCATCCTAAATCATCCTTTCCTAGGGACTTATTGGGCTACTATTCCCCTCGTCCCCAGTCAGCATCTGCTTTCTTGTATCCTGCTCAGCCTCCTCAGGAAATCCATTGCAGCTGCTTGGTTGATTGGCAGCTCTTGTTCTGTGATCAAGAGTTAACATTACAGGCACTTGGAAATGCACCATCATATTTGCCACAAACTTTCAGGCACCAGACCTCAAACAACAGCCTCTAACTTTAGATACAGATATTTGATGCCACTCAAATGCTGACTACATGTGCATAACTGTTACATGTAATCTAGTATCTATCAATGACTTTTCCCAGCCAAGAACCTTCCAGATTCAGAGAGTTAAAGCAATAGAAGCAGCACTTAAATTTATATACCACCCCATAGTGCTTCACAGCACCCTCTGGGTGGTTTACAAGGTCAGAAATTTGTCCCCAACAATCTGGATCCTCATTTTACAGACCTTGAGTCGACCTTGAGCCCCAAATTCCAGGCTGTGGGCTGAGTTTGCCTGTAATACTGCATTCTAACCACGGTGTCAACAGGGCTCAGGAAAGTCTTCCTATTGATTTCCAAAGAAATGTCAAGAAGAGTGTAGGTGGTTGCGTTTTTTGTGTTTTGCATCAGACTCTGCCTAACCCCACCTACCCAAATCATGCATCTATCCGGGGTTAGAGGAAGATGAAGCCAGGTCCAATGTGAAACCTCTCCTTTGGAGTGACTATTGCATTGGGACTGCTGAGAATCCAAGATACGTTATAGCTTTGTAATGAGTGTGTGTGTAGAGGGTGAGTGGGGCTTATGAAAAGTAAGCTTGTAGTGAGGAAATTGCCACTGGAGTAAGGCTAATGAGGATTTCCACTGGATTCCTAGCTTTCAGAAACTTGTTGGACATTAGTTCAGTACTTTTCCATAAAGGGAGAATACTTTTCTCTTCCCTACGTAGCACGTCTATCATTTCCCTGGAAAGCCATACAGCCATTTTAAACATGCATTACTTGGTCCAACCCAAGTAAACTTTGTAAAAAATAATAATAACCTCGATACAAACATTAAGATGGCTAGGTCTGATTATAACAGCCATCTTCTATGTCTCATAGTTTGGAAGGAAAATGGAGAATCGGGAGTTGTGTGTCAAGTGTCTGTGTACTGTGTACATATAAAAAGTACAAATGTCTGGATCTGGATCACTTCACAATTCAATAGACAGAGACATACAGTAGCTCCACAGAACTTCAGGGGAAGAACAAAAAGAAAAAAAGAAAACCCAGAAAATTGGTTTGGCCAAGAAAAAACATTCTCTTTAATTGGTTTCTATGACACAGTAAGTTAAGTTCCAAGTTGTCTTTGCTATTTATTTTCCTCCTCAAAGGTTAGTCTTGTAGAAAAAACAGTCTTTTCCAATCTGAACACTACGGTAATATTGGCTGGGAAATTCTGGGTAGTTTATGTTTACCTTTCTGGAAGATAATCAGATGGAAGAACTGATTTCAAGAACGCCACTTTCAAAAAGGAAGAAATTTCCAACCATCCACCGCAAGAAGACAGGAAGCATGTACAGGTGGGCAGATATCTGCACACACCATTAAGGTGCCTAACTGCAATTATCATGTTCTTTCTGTGTACAGGTAATCTTCGACTTACAACAGTTCATTTAGTGACTGTTCAAAGTTACAACGGCACTGGAAAAAGTGACTTATGACCATTTCTCACACCTACAACCATTGCAGCCTCCCCACAGTCATGTGATCAAAATTGAGATGCTTGGCACATGACTCATATTTATGACAGTTGCAGTATTCTGGGGTCAGGTGATCCCCTTTTGCAACCTTCTGACAAGCAAAGTCAATGGGGGGAGGGGAAAGGCAGATTCACTGTGTTACTAATTTAACAACTGCAGTGATTCACTTAACAACTGTGGCAAGAAAAGTTGTAAAATGGGGCAAAACTCACTTAACAAATGTCTTATTTAACAACAGAAATTTTGGACTCAATTCTGGTTGTAAGCCAAGGATTACCTGTACTGGTCTTTTTTTTTTTTCCTACTTGATCATTTGGAATCATATCTGGAGACCAGGATATTTGTTTAATCTACCGTACTCATTTTCCAGTGGTGCAAATCAGTGGCGTAGCGTGGGTTGTCAGCACCCGGGGCAAGGCAAGTAATTTGCGCCCCCCCTCCACAGTGGGCGGCGACCCGGCGGCTCGGATCGGATTCGCACAGCCAGC